CCCCCCAGTATTTACTTGACATTTTCTAACGTGAACCTGTATAACTTGACTAATTCCTGTCTGGAAATGTATCATCTCTAGTCTTCCTTAAACAGAATGGCCTAGGAGAATCATGCACTTTTAAAAACTTTTTAAAAAGCCATAATAAAAAAGCTGAGTGCTCATCAAGACTACATCAAGCACTTGTGTCACTCAAACCATATAACTAGATGGGCATTTGTCAGGCTCCTGTACATTTATAGTGTATTATATAAATAATCAATATAAAAGCTGATGAAAGTTTTCATGTGGACAGAACATAGACTTGAAATTTGTTTTTGAGCAGTTTGCAGGAAAGTGAGCTCAGCATGGAGTAAAGTGTTAAATGCACTGAAAGAATCAAGGTTTTCTTCCTCCGTTTATAGTACAGCCGGAGTACTTAGACATGAATTGCTGTCATAGTACACATGACAGCTGGCTGTGATGTGACTGGGTGGGTTGAAGAGGTTGTCAGGGAGAGGGGACTTCACACAGTCCTTTGAACGGTGGGAAGTGTGCAGCCTTCCACTGGATCACCTGGTGTTTGGCTGCGTTGGATTATTTGCCTGGCAGTCTGTGCTGAGGCACAGGGCGAGAGCCCTCCCTTCACTGTCAGCTTTGGTCAGACGCAGTGGCTGAAAGAGGGCCCAGGGGAACCTCATGACAAGCAGGCAGCATGCCCTGGCACACCAGGCGTTCATTTCCTGACAGCCCTTCCAGGGCACATTGCAGTAATCCTCATTTACCAGAAAAGCACAGGGAGAAATTTCTGGCATAACAAACACAAATCGCACCATCTGAAGTTTCTTCCAAGGCAAACGGAGAAGTCGTCCCCTCCAGTTAAGCATTTAAATTTGAACCATCCATCCGGATATTAAGCAGTGTTTTCAAATATACCTTAGGTCTTTTATTAGCCTAAAAATTCTAGACAGACTGTGATTCATGGTTGCTTCATTTTTGTTTCCAAATTTGACCACTGTTTAACAGAGTTATAGGGTGTGCATACAGAATTTTTTTTCCTTTTTTGGTACTGGGAATCGAATTCACGATCTTGTGCTTGCTGGGCAGGCACTATGGAGTAGTAGAATGGCCGGAAGCTTGTGTTCTGAGGCATACGGCCTGGGTCTGAATATCTGCTTTTTCAATAAAGGACCTTGGGGAAATTACTTTGTTTCTCCAAGTTTTTGTTTCCTCATCTGTAAAATGGGACAGACTTATAGACACTGGATTTATATGAACCAGAGAGAGAATGGGAAGAGAGAATGGGAAGACTAAAATTAAAGTTAATCATTTCCTTGCATATGTTTTTACTGCCCTGTTCATGGCCCAGCAATTTATTACAGTCCTTGCCTCTTCTAGCCTCTACCCTCACTTCTAATAACTGGGGAAATCCTTTCAATTCTGTGTTGGTGGTAGTTTCCCTCAGTCATTTTTCCCTTCCAGAATTGCCAATAATTCACATTCCCGTTACTTCCTGTGAGACCATTGTGTCTGTCCTCAGTGCCATCTGAAGGGCATCCCCACTCCCACCGTCCTCAGCACATTCAAAGGTAGGCCCCGGGTGTGACCCAGGTGGGTGATTCACAAACATGGCTACATAGCAGTCACCACAGGAGCTCGTTACTGCAAATGCCAGGAGTCCTGAAAGTTGGCCTTCTGTTGTCAGCAGGCCTGTGTTTCCGGACAGCGTGTGTTCTGCAAACTTTGCCTAAGTCAGTGTAAAAAGAATGGAATGAAAGTGCTTTGGAGGTGATTCTAAGATTAAAATGGACAGAAATGGTGAACGATGGATTTGTAAATGTTGTTGAGAAATGACCCGAAGGCTAAGGTGGCGGCTGCTGGGCACAATTCCAGGTCTTCCCGCAGAGACTGGTCACTGAGGACCGAGACCCTGGGAACAGAGAAAGTGACAGGACGCAGCTGATAGGAGGTGACGAGGCCTGGACATGGGAAGCCGTGTCAGAGGGAGGCCTGCAGGAGATGTGGATTGGGTTCGGGAAAGGTGGGCGCAGATGATGGTCTTGTGTGACTGCTGCGATTCCCCTCGAACACTCAGGGCCAGGCTCAGCCATATTCAAAGTGTTCAGTTACTCCTTTGCACCAAAAGGGCAGTCCTCACTGCAAAATATGGCACACAATTTCAGCAGTTCAACCTCATGCATTTATTACCCATCTGTTGTGTTCATTCTGTCTGCATCTGGACGAAGAACTCCGCAGCTCTGGGTCTTGGCTCTCGGGGCCCACAGCCCACACTCCTGAATGAAAAAGAAGCCCAGTCCTTGCAGGCAGGCCAGCAGGTCTGAAGCAGTCGGGTCTTTACCACTCCAGCCCTATCTGTCAGCTTCCGGGTCATCAGCGAGTCCTCTCAGCGGCCTGCAGGTCTCTGAACATCCTCTCCGGCATTGCCATGACGAAGCAGGCAGGAAGGAGAGTCATCACCAAGCTGATGAGCCGCGGTCCACCCTCCCGATTCTCCCCTTGCCCTGGCATGGCTCTGAGAGGGGCCGGGAAGCCCAGTTCAGGAGGGACTAAGGTACAAATGTGCCTGTCACCAGGCTGGTCACTCTAACACTGGAGGAATGGCACCCAGAGCCTCAAGTTTGCGAATTACGCCGTGGTCCTCATTTTCTGCGTGGGAGAGCACCCACACATTCTCAGCTGTCTTCGAGCTCTGGCAGCAGCTCAGGACCTGTGCTGGCTGTGGATGTAGAGGGTGGCCTGAGGGGCAGGGAGAGGAGGGGCCGAGCCCGGCAGAACCCTGCTGCAGGATTTTCCATTCTTCAGTCAAGCTCTACCCACCCAGGCCTGTCCCCTCCACACCCCGCCCCATTCCTCTGTTACCTGGTCACTTCAGCAGCACTAACTCCCGGTGCTCTTTGGGTTCATCGTACCCCAGAGGAGGGAAGACATTATTTTGCAAACTGCACAGGCCCGTGAAGTAGCTTCTCAGCCTGTCCCAGTGACCTGGAAAGGATGGTCCACAGTGTCTGGAAAGGAAGGAAAGGGCAAAAGGACATCAGTGTGGTGAGAAAGGGTTAAAATTCTCAGCACCTAAACAGACCTCTTTGATGGCGCACTTCTGTCCAGCTGTACTGGACAGTCATGAAGCCCTGCACTCATGAGAACTGAAAGTAGCCATCCTTTTCTCCCGGGAGCTAATGTTTCATTTTTCTCCACAAAGCTAAAACATACAGACACATTTTTGTAAATCTAGAGAGCCTTTCTGAGGCCTAAGCAGGAGGCCTTGACAATTTGCAACTTTGTTTTTTTTAATTTTTATTTTTCCAGTATCGAGAATCAAACTCAAGACCTTGCGCTTGCCAGGGCAGGCGCTATGCCGCTGAGCTAAATCCCCAGCCCCGACAATTTGCAACTTTGATGTACAACTTTAGTATAAAGATACACTATCTGAAAGGAAAAAAAAAAAAGACAGTGTTCCTGGAAGGTTAACAAGGAACAAGATGTTCTGAGAAATGGATTTCTGAGACCTACATTTGCCAACTCAGACCCTTCCCCGTGTCTTCATTTCCTTATAGAAACCCCCATGTCTCTCCCTGACCACGACTCCTTTCTCAGAAGCTTGCCTGCTGCCCCTCTTGACAGTGACTCAATGATCTAAATAAACTCTTGTCTCTCCTGTATTCCTTTGTGAATTCTACTGCTCACATCCCTGACACTCTATACCACCTGCCATGGCAGTCAGGTGAACACAAACGCCTTGACAACCTTCCTTTAAGAGGAAGCAAAGAATTAAAAATATCCAGAATTTCAGCCTGTGATCATAGCACCCTAAGATACCATGCACTGTGAAGAAGATCCCCTAACGCTAGTCAGCTTCCCGTAGCAATTCTACTGAGAGCCACTAGGGAGCACAGCCGGGGTGTATTTGCTTGTCTAATCTCTGTGATGCTGAGTTGGATGTTACTTGTTTAATAAAGGGAAGGGGAGTATTCTAGAATAGGATTTCTCAACTTCAGCACTGTTGAATATTGGGTTCAGGTGTTGCTGAGATTTGTAACCACCAAGTTTTGGGAGCAGGAAGCAGGCACACCCAGCTGCAAGTCTGCGCACCTCACACACAGTGGGGTTTAGTCCTTTGTTCTGCTGCCTGCTGGTGGGGAAGAAGTCCCTGGGCAATGCACTAAGTGTCCCTGGCCTCAGGTTTTCCTCTTTTAATCTGGGGGAAGAGGCCTTCTTAAGTCAGTTTCATGTGAAATTAGAGAGTTCTCAGGTCTCTGTGGGAACTGAATGGATGTCAGTTCCCATTTCCTGTCAGGAATGCTGGGAAAGGGTGGAAAACAGCTCCACGCATCAAGGGGAGGGACCAATATGGCTACCCGTGGATCTCTGAAAATTTGTCCAACCAGGAAATGGGAGGAAGGAGGAAGGGGCAAGCATTCATGGACAGGTCTAATCACTCTTTTATGACTTGTTAGAAGGGACATTGTATACCAATTACAGGCCTTACGTTGTATCTTCTCAAAGCAAACATCCCGGCTTCACTTTGGATGGTGTTTCCACTGGAAGTGTAGAGACATACTCTATTGATTGTGGTTGTCTCCCCTCTCCTTTCTAGCTCAAGAGTCTGCATCTTCTGGGTTTTTTTTTTTTTTTTTTTTTTTTTGAGACAGGGTCTCGCTATGCAGTTCAGGCTGGCGTTGAGCTCACTTTGTAGCCCAGCCTGGTCTCAAACTTGGAACGATCCTCCTGCCTCAGCCTCCTGAGTGCTGGGATTACAG